GACCTCTACTTCCTTTCTAGGACCTCTACTTACTTTCTAAGTCTCCTCACCTGATTTTTCAGGATTTGGGTTTCTTAGCTGGCGTGTGGCACCGCTATCAAGTCAGTATGCATATCCATGAGTGTGTGTGGGTGAAGCCCTTTTGGTGTCAAAGGGAACCTATCGGTTTTTCAGCAAGGGGGCACAGGCCATCATGGATACACAGAACGAAGCTGTTCCACGATGGGGGAAGCGGAGATTGATCACCTCCGTGTACCTGCTGAAGTTTGTAGCGTTTGGTAACGATGTTTTCCTCTAGATGTCAGGCTGGTTTGGTAACGCCAGGTCTGCATTTTTCACTTAGGCTCCGTCAGGGCTTCGGGCGTTCAATTCAGCACGCAATATTCCGAGTGCGTCTCTCCTTCCATTAGTAGTCCGCAGCGGATAAGAGAAGGCTGAACGCCAAGAGCAGGCTAGTTCTTCAAGGCCCATTGGGGCCTGTCCCCACCTTAAGTGCACACACAGTGTGTACACAAACTAGGCTAGGTGCTCCTAGGTCCGTCAAAGAGGTTCGGCTTCATTTGTCGGCCCCATTTGGTTTCACTTTTCATCTCTTCCCCAGCACACACTTTCTTTTCCTGCTTCTTTTCATTTCTTTTCTGTCTTCATGTCTTGTCACCTCATTCCTTTCTTTCTTTTTCGCACACCTCGGTCCGGCCCTTTGCGCGCACCTGCACTCGTACACGAAACCCAGGTCTGAGGTCGCCCAGGTTGTTATAACGAGGCACGGCTTTTCTGGTTGTTCCTTTTCTCCGCAACCACATACACTGTCCTGTCTTGTCTTCCTCTCAAGTCTTCATCTGTTGTCCTCTGCGCGTGCACACCTACACCTTAGTCCGGGCCCTAGTTCTAGATTTTTGGCCCCTCTAAGCGGGGCACGTGTGTGTGTGTGTGTGAAACCCTTGGGAGTCAAAGGGAACCTATCGGGTTTTTCAGCAGGGGGCACAGGCTCATCATGGATACCTGTGCCAACAAGCTGTTCCACGATGGGAGAAGCAGACTGATCACCTCCGTGTACCTGCTGAAGTTTGTAGCGTTTGGTAACTATGTTCTCCTCTAGATGTCAGGCTGGCTTGGTAACGCCAGGTCTGCAGACAATCGCATCGCTCGCTCGTCTTCATAAACTTGGAGCTTTCCTTTGATGACTTGGAGTTTCTTTTGATGACTTGGAGCTTTCAGGGATAGTCCGACCGCCTTAAATACTACCTGTTTTTTCCCAGGCATTTGTTCATTTAGGCTTCGTCAGGGCTTGGGGTGATCAATTCAGTACACAATATCCCGAGTGTGCGTGTTGGCTTGATATGATTTGCTTTGTACAACTGTCAGAACATGAAGCGAGAAAGGAGTGTGAAATCCATATCCGCCGACCCCGGCCTATAGCCAAAGCCTAGGCGGGGAGGCGCCTGGGACACCGCAGGGTGAAGCAGTTGGCCAAGCCTTGCAGAACCCTTCCAAGCACTTCCAAAGGCATGTGTGCAGGTGCATTGCGGTTGGCCGCGGCCTCTCGGTGGCCTGTCCGAGGCCTGCCTCTCCTCTTCTTATGGGCTTTTCCGAAAGCAACGTTAGACACCCACGGGCCCCGCCCTCAAAGGCTTCTCGGCAGCCGGCAGGCCTGCCCCGGCCTCTCTGTGGCCTGTCCGAAGCCTGCCTCTTCTCTTCACCCACGGGCCCCGCCCGCAAACGTTTCTGCAGGCCGCAGCTTGGCCCACAAAGCTTTTTCTATGGGCTTCCGAAGGCAACGTTAGACACCCACGGGCCCCGCCCTCAAACGCTTCTCGGCAGCCGGGCCCCGCCCGCAAACGTTTCTGCAGGCCGCAGCTTGGCCCACAAAGCTTTTTCTATGGGCTTCCGAAGGCAACGTTAGACACCCACAGGCCCCGCCCTCAAAAGCTTCTCGGCAGCCGGGCCCCGCCCGCAAACGTTTCTGCAGGCCGCAGCTTGGCCCACAAAGCTTCTTCTATGGGCTTCCGAAGGCAACGACGCGGCCTCTCTGTGGCCTGTCCGAAGCCTTTTTGAGGACGTCTCGTACGAAACACTCGTTTTGGAGACTTGACGCGCAACCCTCTGCGGAGATCGTGCGTGTCGAGTGCGCGAAATGCAAGCGAGATTGCGATTTGTCCCATGCGCGCGCAACCCTCTGCGGAGATCGTGCGTGTCGAGTGCGCGAAATGCAAGCGAGAGTGCGATTTGTCCGGTGCCCGCGCAACCCTCTGCGGAGATCGTGCGCGTCGAGCGCGCGAAATGCAGAACCATCCGCTTTGGGCGTGCCTAAGCAGCTTTGCACAAAATGTGTCTACCATTGGCGTGCTACTGTGCGGACCGCCATACTGAGCCCTCTTATTTTTCTGAGGGGTCCTGCTCAGCATGGCACTCAAGTTCAAAGGTTAAGACATGTTCCTGGAAAACATTTCGAACAGGACAGGATTTCGAGCCTTGGTCCTTGGTTCTTAACCTACTTCAGCATCGGTCCCAGGGACAGACTCCAAGTTACCCATCCGCAGTAGGATTCCTCCTGAAAAGGGGTCGGCGGCACGCGGGCGAAGCCGTTACAATGACATAGATGATCGTGAACTTTCTGACAAACGATAGACGGCAAACCTCATGAAGGAAGCCAAGCAGTACCAGCTCAGTCGAGTGCTTTCACCACCTCACTCTCAGGAAAGCGATGACACTGCGGAGATTTCTTCTCCCCTGCAGCGCCACAAAAGAGATCCAAGATAGAACAAGATGCAAGGCGCCTTTGATAGAGTGTCCTTCAAAGAGTTCTCATTAAAGGGGCCAGTACTTTCTTGTTTTGGGCTTCTTCCAAAAGCAGATTCGGTCTGGTTTGTTCCTGTTCTACAAAAAGTCTCGACATGTTGAGACTGGATGTCAGGATGTCTGTCACCAATGCGCTGATGACCCGATGGTGCCTGGCTCTACACCTTGGGGGCGGCTGGAAGACTCCTCTTGAGGGTTTTTGGCACCACCGTGCCTCACCCACAGTGTGCCACACGGTAAGAAACCTTTATGGAGTTGCCAAAGTTGGGGTGATCTCGATTGGATGGTGCCAAAAACACGTGCAAAATACTGAGGTACCTCTATTCACTACAGGTTCATCGACAGTTGTAGGATGTTTTAATGTTGTGACTAAAAAAACACACTGAAAGCACAAAATTGGAACAAGTTCTACAAACTGCAAAATGGAAACTGAAACAAAGATTCAAAAATGCAAATTCGCTCTTAATGCTCAAAGGCTGTAGCCACGCTTCGGGACAAATAGCTTCTCGTAATCACCACGGAGATTGCCTTCAACCACCAGAAAGTGGTTTAAGTGATTTCAAGCTGCTCAAAAACAATGCTGCCTGCTACGAAGATCATGTCAGCCAAGCTGAAAGGACAAAACTCCATCACCTCAGCTGGGACGCCTTCGGGGCCTTCCCGGCCTTTCCCAAGCTTTTTTCGAAGCCTACAAATAAAGCCAAAGGCAAAAATGCAAAGAACCCTGCAAGTTGGCATTCTGCGGAATCTCGGGCGTTGGCCAAATACACCTCTCGGTCCAGGCCATTCGGCCCTGCGAACCAATCCAAGTATGCCACAAGGTTCGGATGCCTTAAGGTCCGTCTGCGAACTCAAACTTCAAGGACAGAGGCACCAGATCTTAGGCACTTGTCCAGCAAAGGACCCGCAGAGACGAATCAATTTCATCGCTCACGAATAACTGCAGCTTCTTCTGTCACTTGTCCACTTGAGCCCCACACCCCTGTGACTGTGGGTCTTGTACCTACCGAAAAAAAAGTAAAAGACTGCAAGGTGGAAAACTCGCAACTTCTGCGATGTAGGGCATGCAGTGTCACGTGAACCTCAACTAAACATCCTTTACAACTCAGTTTTGAAATCAGTAAAGAAAGCAGGTCAAGCAAGGAGCAAATGCCAGAAAAAAGGTGGAAATGGTATTCCCCGGTTTAAGAGTTTTGATCCCGCAAACAAAAGTCAACGAGATTTACATTCACAGGCCATAAGCATTGATTGTTCGGCACGGCCCGGAAATCCAGGCTGGGGCTGTGCGACTGCTCTAATGTGCAGGCGTATGGCATCGGGGATGCCAAACGTTTCTTATATATATATATACACGCAAATATACACATGTGGACCATATGGATTGAACAAATGAAAAAAAGGCCTAACAAGTGCATCGCTACTCGGAACAAGAGCATTACTACTAGTAACAAGAAGCTACTGGTCATTAAAGCTACTAGTAGTAATGCCGTTGTTACGAGTAGCGATGCCCTTGTTACTAGTAGCTTCTTATATAAGGCCTTATTTGGACCATATGGATCAAAGAGATGAAAAAGGCCTTATTAAAGGAGCCCTTACAGCTTGCTACACGGATGAAGGTGCATCGCTGCCTCTTCTGCATACTTGGCGCGGCAACGGAAGACAGTGGAAATCTGGCGTTCGGTCAAGTGCTGTCATCCACTTCTTTGCTTCTCTTCATTGTACACAATGGTGGCTTGCTCTTTGATCTCTTGTAAGGCAAAAGTAATCTTGTCCCTGAACCAAATACGCAAGTGCAACAAAACACCTGCATGGAGTCAACAGACCATATACTTAAACACTGAAACGGTTTGTGCCTCAAATCTGAAGAGTCAAACGCCCAACCTCCTGCTGTATTTGGCGTTGCACGCCAGCATTGATGCTACGCATATGCTTGAGAGCTACCTGAGAAGTCCCACAAAATCGCTCAAATCGCCACTCCAGTTTGGAGAAACCTGATAAAGCTAGCATCTAAGCTAGCAGCTAGATCATAGTTGAAACAGCAACTGCACTTCTTTGGGTATGGAGAGCCAAACTTCTTGACTTCTTGACTTTGCCTGAAGAGTATTGGCTTGCTTCCCGCCTGACGTGCCTGAGCAAATCCACCATGCAGAATCTCGAAGGCCTGCAACATGATCCAAATGAAAGAGCGAGGCGAGAACGAGGAAAAAGGTGATGGAAAGAGCAGAAAGAGATCTCAGCTTTTGCGGTGAATCATTCATCCAACTGTATCTCAAACCATCAAAAAGCGAGATCAAAGAGCGTCTCTAGCCAAGAAAAATTAAAGTAGAGAAACTCATCAGGAAGATTGATTCAAATGCTCACAACATCCCAAGATCCTAAAAGTGCTGCAAGAGTCAGAAAGAAAAACTCCTGTTGGTGGACCTTGGCCTGCTTTGTTTCTGAAAAGGCTCCAGACGGAATATGTTCTTTGGTGAATCTATATTGTTTCTTTAAATTATATATATATATACAGTATATATATGGATGAAGAATTTGGGTGGAAAGCCATTCTTCAACCTGGAGCTAATCTTCATCCAAGCTGCTGCAGAGTCTGGAGCTGCCCGGCCAAAGTAGACTTCGCCTCGGCTCGGAGAACCAAGTCAAGTCAAGGCGTTTTGCACAATAAGAATATGTGTGAACATGTTTCAAGCAGAAACAAACAGTACGGAAGTTGTTTGATGCAATGCAAACAATATAGTCCAACATTCAGGTCTCTCTTAGCTACCGACCAGTGGCACCGCACGAAAGCTGTCGGCTCTGGGCATAGCCTGGCAGTGCACAAATAAATGCTCACAATCAAGAACAATTCGATGGCCAACAGTGCTGAACTATGTCAAAGCCGATCAAGTTGACTGGCCTTCTTGATGTTTCAGGTCATGTTGTTTGCGAGGTGGAAAGTGCGGCAAGGAACTCTGGAAGAAGATGCAACTTTGACATGTGTCCATTGCAGGCAAAGCACAAGCCAACTTGACTAAGCACTACTCTAAAGCCCAATAGAACCTTCCACACGTCCCCAATGTTGTATATCTAGAGGTGACAAACAGCATTCTCAGCGAATGGCCCTTTGCGGACCTACCTCGATTTCCCAGACGTCGGCCAGTCTGAAAGCAGCGGCACGCTGCAAGGAGCTCCGACTGCATTTCGGACTAAGGATGTGGAAGCTCAAATTCTGAAAACTTTGCAGCTACTAAAAAAGGATCCCACAACTTGCAGAGAGCACAAGGGACGAATATCAAAGGGCGTGTCACTCGGCTCTTACCCTTAAACAATGCAGCGCACAAAAGCAATCAAAGAGGTGCCTTTGAGAGCGCAGTTTCGGGGCGTGCCATGTGCAGCCATTGCAGTGTCAGCAAGAAAACACTCAATGTCTTTCTCCGTCACACGCTGTGTGCGTGCCTTTGAAAATCAAAAAATGATAATTGATTAAATGTTCATATACTGTATATATATATGTGTGTGTGTGTTTTATTGCTATATATATACTGTATAACGGTGTTGCCTTCATCAAAGGTACCTAATTCAAGTTTCTATTGGTTCACTGGTGTCGCTTCGAGCTCAAAAACTGCAATCGAACAATCTACCAGGTGATGCTGGGCAGCCTGTTTAAGTCTTACTGGACTCAGTACGCTTGTAATGGATTGCAAAAATGCCAAAATTGACACCAATGCAAAAACTGAACAAAATCGTGCAAGCCCAAGGTTGAACTGTCAAACTCTTTTGGCAGTCAAGAAAAGGAAATAGATTCTTGCAGGATGGTGCTGCTGGTGAACCCCTTAATTTATAGGTAAGGACTGTCTTCAGAGGCACCACTGTAACGGTGCTCCCTGTAATCTAAGGAGCCACCGCAGAACAAGTTGGCATTGGCATTGATTCTCAAGGTAATGAGGACAACTGCTAAGCACCGAGATTGTCCATATCAACTATGTATACTTATAGCCAACTCTGGACGAGCAGCTTCTACTGTCCGTGGCTTTGTGCAAGCCGAGTTAAAAGTCTTGCTGTGGTTCATCTCTGTCGAACTCAAGCATGCGCATTGACCTGGAAGGAATGCTGCTCACAGTGTGGACGGAAGTAACAAAGGCCCGTCTTTCAGAGCACATATATTTTCGCAGCAAGAACCGGGAAGGTGTGAGTACGTGTCTTGAGCAGCTGTGCTAGCGAAACAATATGGAGCTCATGACACACTGAGTTCTTTCCTCGTGACACATCAACTCGCCAGAATACTCAAGGATTCGCTACACAAGAAAGAAGAACAGTAATGTCAAGGAACTCAATATCTCACCACCCCACTGAAAGCATCCGGCCTGGGACCCCCCAAAGCTCTACGGCATCTGCAACGCCTACAAGCTCCAGTGCCAGTGGCGTAGCCGGCTCCACAGAACACGCCAGGCAAGGTGAGGAACTCGATCACGACAGACCAGAACTTTTGGCCCTCAAAAGATCATGAGGACTGAACACCAACCTAATAGCGATGGC